CCCCCCCCACTTTCCACAGCTGCCTCCCCATGAAGTCATGTGGCTTGGTGACACTTGGCCCTTGACGCCAAGGACAGCTGCTGGCTGCTAGATGCAGCAGAGTTTTCTATCATTTTATCACCATTCTTCAACTCTACTTTCCTATCTGCCCTTCCCTTGAGTCACTCACCCATCATCATTTCAGTTTGCATGCATTTTCATATTATTTCCGATGAAATGAAAACCATAAACTTTACTGGCTTAGATGTGCATCACACTATTGAAGAAACAGCTAAGCACTGATGTAGGTTCCGAAAGGTAGCCAGGCAGTAGGTTGTGTCTGATGAACCCCCTTCTGGGACACACTCTCACCCAGGGGAGAGGAACGACGCCGTCCTAACACTAAGCTACTTGGTTATTGCCCCTTCCTTGTGCAGATCCTTGTTCTTTCCTTCCACATTATTGGTGAACAGCTCCTATGTGCCAGGCCCTGTACCAAGGGATGGATATATAACAGCCACATGACAGACTGGTCCTTGGCCTTACTAGGCTTGCTATGCAGTAGGAGGGAGAAGCCAGGGAACAAGCACATGCTACCGGGCAGGGGAAGGAAGGCCAGGTGACTATGGTCGCTTAATCGAGGAGACACGTAACCCAGGCTGGAAGGCAGGGTGGAGGGATGGGGAAAGTTCCCTGGAGACAGTCTGAGCTGAGATCTAACCGATGACAAGTCCACACCCCGTGGGATGCTGGAAGGAAGGTTCCAAGCAGTACTGACAAGACCCCAAAAGTGGGAGAGCATATTTCCTCCCAAGGTGAAGGGATAATGCAGGGGACAGAAGCTTGTAACGTCATGGTCTGAGAACTACAGAATTGCACTGACCCTTGAACAGGGATTTGAACTATGCGGTTCAACTTATACACAGCTTTTTTTTTTTTTTTTTTTCAATAAATACCTGTACTGTTTTTGATCTGCAGTTGGGAGCCCAGGAGTGCGGAGGCTGACTGTATACACTGATCTACACCATTTTATAAAGGGAACTTGAGCGTCCTCGGATTTGGGTATCTGGGGGGGGGGGCGCGTCCTGGAACCAACCCCCCATGGATATCAAGGGACAACTTAAGTTCTGGGGGAG